TGGATATGTTATCGAAGACAGGCGCCAGTAACATGGGCAGAATTCTATTCTCTTTCTGCTTCAGTCCTGGGTAACGTTTGCAAACTTTGGGAGTCAAGGCATGCTGCTGTATATATCGGGCACACCATTCTACATTGTTTCACTGATCTGTCACTGAATTGGATGTGTGACATTAGTGGTTACTTTCCTGTTTCTGAGTCCCTTCCAGTATTCTGATTAGAAGTGAGTCACCAACATGATTTCATCTCATATCTATTGTGTGACTTAATGCAATTCTAGCTAAATCGGGTAAAACTTTTTTTTTTTTGAGCTATGCTAGTTGGCCAGCCTGGATTTTTTTTTTCCCCCTAAGATTATGTCTTGTTCACAAACTATGTAGATTTCAATTGGTTCTCACCATCTGGGAGACAAGTTTTCTCTCTTAAGAGAAAAACAATGTGAGCAACTAAGTGCTTGTTGGCAAACTGTCAAAAATTAAATGAAAATAAATCAGTTACCCAAACTCAGAGCAAGATACCAGAGGTTAGTAGCAATGGACCTATGGCAACATGGAGCCTTTCATTAAGATTAGTACACACAGAACAATATATTTTTGCAAGAAAACGTACATGTAAAACGCATTGAAATTATCTGGAGTCAACAGAGAAATGGGAATTACAAGGAAATAAACAAGCTGGGTTCTGGTGGCTCATGCCTATAATCCTAGCTAGGTAGGCAACTGAGATCTGAGGATCAAGGTTCAAAACCAGATGGGACAGACAGATCTGAGAGACTCTCATCTTCAATTAAACAGCAAAAAAATCAGAAAAGGAGGTATGGTTCAAGTGGCAGAGTGCCAGTCTTGATCAAAAAAGCCAAGCAAGAGTGTGTGTCCCTGAGTTCAAGCCCTAGTACCCCCAGCCACAGACATAAATGAAATTCGGAGTGATATAGCTTTAAGTGTGGGCAACCTTTTGAACAAAGCTGTGACTCAAAAGCCCAAGGCCTCTTCCATCCCTGTTTGCTAACATTTGCTCCCAAGGAGTAGCAACAGCAATAGCAGGACAAAAGTGTGTCTTGTTAACTGCCTGCCCACTCTGAGGGTTGCTTCGTTATTACATTTTCCTCTCTCCACTTTGACCTAGGCCTTCATCAGTCCCTGGTCTTGTGTTCACTGGATACTTTGATTTCCCAGTAGCAGGAAGGGTATATGAATTTAGCTCAGGCTTTCTGTCACCTCACAGTGAATAATTCCCATTTGCTGAGATTGTAGAGAGTTCATGGGGAAAGGAGGCTTTGAAATAGGGTCTCACCATGTAGAATGGGCTAGCCAGGAACGCATAGTCATCCTGCTTCAGCCTTCTGAGACTACAGCCCTCCAAATCTGATTCATATGGCTATGAAGGTTATTTGCATGTGCTTGCTTTTATTCGCAACACAGCAGGAAAGATAAATCATATATTAATGTTCTTTACACAAGGTTAAATAAAAATAAGATTGCAATAATTGGAAAGAGCAGTTTCTTATTTTCCTGAGAAATCTGGCTTTGTGAGTTATTACATTCCTTTAATAAGCAAATAATTTTAAAAAATGCCACAAGGCTCTGAGAAGTGCTACTACCTCAGACTGCCTTGGTGTGTGTGTGTGTGTATACATACATGTGTGTGAGATAGGTTCTCACTGAGTAGTCCAGGCTGGCTTCAAATGAGATCCTCCTGCCTTCCATTGGGTGGGCTTGGGTAAGTTGTTCATCCTTGCTGGGATGCTGTTTGGGGGAGGGGTTTCTCTAAAGTGAACGTGTGAACGACCTCCAACATTTGTTCACTAAAGTTCCCTCTAGAAGTCAGAGCGTATCACTAAATAAGATGATAGGATCTTATATGTTTTGTGTTAAAAAGATAAGTGGGGGGCTGGGAAGGTGGCTCAGTGGTAGAATGCTTGCATTGCATGCTTGAGGCTCTGGGTTCAATTCCTCAGCACCACATAAGCAGAAAAGGCTGGGAGTGGTGCTGTGGCTTAAGTGGTAGAGCGCTAGTCTTGAGCTAAAGAGCTGAGGGACAGCGCCCAGGCCCAGAGTTCAGGCCCATGACAGACCTCCCCCCCCACAAAAAAAAAAAAAGGCAGAACACTAATTTCTTGCTGCAGATTTTAAGCAAATGCTGAATGAAAATGGAGACACTGCACTCTACGGACCCAGTGAAATGTAGGGGTGATGATGGGTCATGGGCAGTTCTACAAACCTGCTTGGGGGGGAAGGAGTGGGGGGGAATACACCATATATTCCACAGCCAGGACATGCTTCCCCTTTACTTATTTTTGCAGTGCTGGGGAGGGAACCTAGGGCCTTGCATGTTGGGAAAGAGTTCTAGGACTGAGCTGCTCTCCTAGCCTGTACTTTTTTTGTGCTTGAACTCAGGGCCTGGATTTTTTTCCTGAAACTTTTATGCTGAAGGCCAGTGATACACTATTTGAGCCACAGCTCCATTTATGGCTTTTTGTTGGCTAATTCAAGGTAAGTCTCATGGACTTTCTGCTTAAGCTGGATTTAAATCATGACCCTCAGGGGCTGGGAAGGTGGCTCAGTGGTAGAGTGCTTGCGTAGAATGCATGAAGTCCTGGGTTCGATTCCTCAACATCACATAAGCAGAAAAAGCCAGAAGTGGCACTGTGGCTCATGTGGTAAAGTGCTAGCCTTGAGCTGAAGAGCCGAGGGACAGCGCCTAGGCTGGAGTTCAGGCCCCACGACCGACAAAACCAAAAACAAACAAAAAATCATGATTCTCAGATCCCAGCCTCCTGGGTAGCTACGATTACAAACATGAGCCTGGCTTGCACTTCTTTGTCAGTGACAAACTGCTATTTGAACTGGAGTCCCACAAATAGGACCTATTTGAGAAAAAAAAAAAATCAAATGTGGTCAATATATTTAAAGAGTCAGGTGCTGGTATCTCACACCTGTAATCCTAGCTGCTTAGGAGGCTGAGGCCTGGAGGGTTGAGGTTTGAAGCAAGCTCAGAAAATTCTTGAGATTCTACCTTTGAAATATCCACCAAAAAGCTGGGTGTGGTACAAATGATAAAGAGGGCCAGCTGTGAACAAGCAGGATGAATAAAGCAGCTTGAAGCTCATGAGTTCAGGCCCCTGTGCCTACAAACAAAACCTGACAAATTCAAAAAGAAAGCCCTTTAGCTGGAGAGTTAATTCACAGCATTTTTAATTCAAGTTAATCCATCTTACTTGATAATCTGACATATCAATTGTATGGGGGAGGAGGGGCTTCACTGTGACCTTTTCACACATGTAAATGATGTCCCCCATCAACCTTACCCCCTCTAGCACAGTCCCTCAGTCCATACTCTTCTTAAAACCATTTCAACAGGTTTCAGTGTTCCATTTTCATATATACAAAGGAACTCTTTTGATCATATTCATCCATACTTACTTCTCTACATGCTCCCCCCCCCCCCCCCCCCCCCCCCCCAGCAGAGAGCATGTTTTAGTTTCCTGTCACTTTTTTTTTGCCAGTCCTGGGGCTTGAATTCAGGGCCTGGGCACTGTCCCTGAGCTTCTTTTGCTCAAGGCTCTACCACTTGAGCCACAGCGCCACTTATCACTTCTGTTTTTTTTTCCCTGTTTTTAGGTGGTACTAGGAATGGAACCCAGGGCTTCATGCATGCTAGGCAAGCACTGTACCGCTAAGCCACTTTCCCAGCTACCTGTCATTCTTTTTTAATATGTACTAATTATACCAGGAGGTTTTGCTGTGGTGCTTCAGACTTGCCTATATATTAATCTTATTTCTTGCTTTCCACACCCAGCATACTGATCAACTGCTTTCACTCAGATTCCTTATGCCAGCTTCATACATGGTTGCACTGTCTTTTTATTATGATTTCCTAGCTGTTCTCCATCCTTCTTCTTCTCTCTCCCTCATCCCTCTAAACCAGAGATAGGGGATCTTTTTCTAGCAAAAACGATTGGGATATTTATGATATAGGTAGACAGGCTTGGGCAGCTGAGGAGAATTGTGATTTCTTGTGCCTTCTACAGTCTGCAGTCCAGGAGATCCCCACCTCGGGACAGGGCCAGGGGAAGGAAAGCTGTCTACGATGTGGCCTGAGAGGAAAGAGCATCGAGCAGGGGCCACCAGATCCCTCAGGCTACAGAGCTGGGTGTTCCAGGATCGCCTCTGGCTGGTGTCATGGGGGAGGATGTTCCCACCCTGCTGTTGGGTCTTAGCAGGTGGCTCTAGGCTTCTCTGTCATCCCTTACCAAGGCCCTTGTTTGGTTCTTTTTCTCTGTAGTTTGAGAAGTGAGTTTCCAAGGATCAGTGTGCCTAATACATGTGTGTGGAACTCAGGTACTGTGAGAATGTCCAACTAGGTCTCAAAAGGTGGGAAAAAATTTGGGGAAAGGAGAGAGAAGGTGGTGGTGATGAGGATGGTGCATTGATGGGAAAGTGGGAGCAAAGGTGACCAATGGGCAAACCCAATAAATGCCCTAGTTGAGGGCAGACAAGCATCAACACAGCCAAGACCTGGGGAAGGTGGTCTTGAGCTTTCTGCCAACCTGGTGAGTTTGCAGGGCTGGAAAGCCAGAATCTTTTCTTTTTCTCTTCTTTCTTTCCTGTCCTGGGGCTTTAACTCAAAGCCTGGTACTGTCTTTGAGCTTTTCTGTTCAAGGCTAGCACTCTACTTGAGCCATAACTCCACTTTCAGCATTTCTGGGAGTAGTTAATTGGAGATAAGAATCTCTTAGATTTTCCTGCCAGGGCTGTTTTTGAATTGTGATCTTCAGTTCACAGCCTCCTGAGTAGCTATAGGATTACAAGCGTGAGCCACAGGTGCCCAGTTCTTTCTTAAGAAACAACCTGACCTATTCAAGCTTAAACAGAACACAGGAGAGAAAGATGCCTAATTAGAGGGTCTTAAATAACTTAGCAGGACAGGTACTTCCTAGAAAGTGGAATGATCAAGTAAACCTAGCACCTCCAAAAAGAAGAAATGGAATGTACAAATGGAGAGAGTGTAGATTCAAGTGCGTTTTTGGTGCTTTGGTCTATAAGCGATCAAGATGGAGAGAGATGCTATCCCAAGGAGAAACGTCTGCAGGAACCAGAGGAGCTGAGTCTGGCTGTCTGTGATTCCTTTAGACCTGAAAAAAAACGAGCAAAATTAAACACCAGAATTTTAATTTTAGAGTTCCATTCAGTTGTAGGGTAAAATGTTATCTTCTAAATTTATTTTGTTTCATTTATAACTTCCATCAAGTTTCACTGGATTTATTTTGCTGTGTCTCACGAATTTGCATGCTTAGGTCATATTGTTTTCATCTGTCTTCCTTTCTAGATGCATCTCAAATGGTACACTGTTCCTGGAGGACCAGTTTGCTGTTATTTAGGGATACTGTTTCTCAGGTGCTTCTGACTGCTGGGGGGTTAAAAGCTCTAGTATGTCTTCAGAGATCCCCCACAGCCTCCCCACCCCTCCCCGTACTAGGGCTTGAACTTCAGGCCTGGTGCTGTCCCTTAGCTTTTTCCACTCAAGGCTGGCACTCTACCACTTGAGCCACAGATCCACTCTGGCTTTTGTCTGGTTAATTGGGGATAAGAGTTTCACAGACTTTTCTGCACTGGCTAGCTTCAAATGGTGATCCTCCTGTCTCAGCCTCCAGAGTCGCTAAGATGATGGGTGTGAGCCACTGGTGCTCAGTGACAGCGAATGTTTTGAAGATAGACCAGAGGAGAATCCTAGCTTTGCCCCCAATGGCTGTGGCCTGGATAATTACTTAGGCACTCACACAGTTTTCCTGTATGAAAAATAGTATGTATTTCATCCAGTTTTGATAGGATTCATACTACAACAGATGCAAAGTGCCCAAATCAAGCCCAGAAACCAGCTTCAAATCAAACCACTGGGATTGGGAAAAAGGATTAGTATCTCAGTGCAGAAACTGGTTCAGCCTGCCCGGTGGGAGTAAGGAAACATGGCCACACCCTTGTAGAATTGCAGAGTACTATGTTGGAGGGACAGGAAGCTGCCTGCAGACACAGCTGGTTTAAAAGGAAGCTTGCCTGAAAGGCACAACTACATGCAGAAGAGATTTGTGTTGGGTAATTCCTTTCCAAATTAACCTTTTGGGCTGAAGGAATGGCTCAAATGGTAGAGCTCCTGCTTACTAAGCTCAAAGCTAAGAGTTCAAACTCCAGAACCAGCAAAAACAAACAAACCAAAAATCTAAAACAACCATGAGCAATAATAAACTACCTAATTTGGTACTTTTAGAAATATACAAAAATGATGAGCTGCAAAACAATTTCATATTATCACAATCAGCTTCTGTATTAGACCATAGTTTCTATTTATGCTTACATAAAGTATAACTTCTGCAAACTAGAAGACAGACCCTAATCTTTTGTTGTAGTTGGGACTAGACAGAGAGCTTTTAAAACACAACAAAAGTCATCTAAGTAACTAATTAACCAACATAAGTGAATGGTACTCATTCATCAAATATTCACTGAGAACTCCCTCTGTGGCAGACTCACAGCTTAGGTATAAGGGTTCATGCTCTATTTGAGAGTGCTCTCAGCCTACAAGTGTGTGAATTATTTAACTGTGCCTCCTTGCAACTTATACTAGACACCAGGAGAAAGGTGACAAGGACCTATTACGAAAAGTTACCTGCACAATACCATAGCATATAAGGACTCTCCCACATGAATTAGCCAGGCAAGCCAAAACCTGAAATAAAAGAAACCAAAAGGTCAGTTGGGTTTAAGGAGATAGGAACCTGTTGGTGAAATCTAACACAGCAACTTTAAAAAGAAAGCTATGTTCATGTGACAGTATCACTTAAAAACCTCAAAAGAGACTGAATCGACAATGTCCACAACCCATTTCTGCAGCTCTCCTTACCCATTGTGTAGGAGGGTGTGATGGTGGTCTATCAGGTACTGTGTGAAGGACCCCAGGGGCCCAAGGCTCTGGTAAGGGATACTCTGGGGCCAGAGGACAACCCACTGAAACAGAATCAAAGGCACACAATGACTATTAGGTTACTTAAAAGCAAGTTTTTGGGTTTTTTTTTTTTTGAGAGTAGCTATCAAAGAATAGTGATTCTACAAAAAATCACTACTGATCAAAGACACAAATGCATTTGGTCCCCAGGTCTTGACTTTCAGTTTCTAAAAGCACCTTAATTGGACAATGTATGCAGAGTAAACTATGTGCTTATCAGATTTAGTGCCCAGGCTGGCTGGCTCTTTTTCTTTCTGAACTTCAGGAAAAACCATTATTTTATGAAGGTTTTTTTTTTTAACAATCTTTTTTTTTTTTTTTTTTTGGGTCTGGTCATGGGGCCTGAACTCTGGGCCTGGGCGCTGTCCCTCAGCTCTTCAGCTCAAGGCTAGCACGCTACCACTTGAGCCATAGCACCACTTCTGGCTTTTTTTTTCTGCTTATGTGGTGCTGAGGAATCGAATCCAAGGCCTCATGCATGCAAAGCAAGCGCTCTACCACTGAGCTACCTTCCCAGCCCCCCCCCCCCCCCCCCCCCCCCCCCCCCCCCCGCTTTTTTTAAACAATCTTTAAGTGTTTATACATCTTGGCTATCTTCTTATTGCAGAAATTATGACTTGATTCAAACTCCCATTTAATTTACAACTCCTTTTTTTTCCCCCAGCGGAGAATGATAACAGAGGTGACACTGATCAAGATGCATTGAATTCGCAACCTGAATTAACCTTTTATATAACTACTTAAAGGTTAAAAAAAAACCCAACAAAATCAAACTCCCTTTTCTCTCTTTTTTGGTAGCTCTACAACTGGGAATGATCTACTTCACCGAGTTGGAAAAACTATATTAGGTTTGTGAAATTCTAATAGTTACGACTGAGTCAAACAAGGTTTCTGTAGTATCAACTTCCCCGCAGTCTATCTTTAATCTCTGAAGATAATCATGTGCTAACAGCTCCACATTTTATTGTTCCATTCAGATCCATCACTCCCCCAAACCAATGGAACAGAAGAGGCAGTTTTCTACCTGCTCTACAATTATCTCAATGTGAAGTCTTTTCCTTCTATTGTCTAACCAGAGACATAGAATCATAAGACAGAAATGGCTTTAGAAAAGGTTCAGTTCAGGCCTCCGTGTCATACATGGGAAAACCAGGACAGAGATGTCAGTCAGTCACACGCCACATATCCACCGACCATTCAGGACAAATGCCCATTCTCTAGGTTCTCCTGGGAAATAGCGAAAATGGCTCTACTTTCCTTCATAATCGAACCAACTTGGCCCCCCTCCACTATGTATTTCCCAGCGTTTCCCCCCATTCTCCTTTAAACAAACAGCCTGCCAGCTAGATAAAAGCCGCCCTGGCCTGCAGAACTTACTCGCACGCCTAAGCCCAGCAGTACCCTAAATCCTACCCATCCTTTACATTCACCCCACTTCCAGAAATGAACTGACTCCCAAGCAATTCCAACGGCTTCAAGCACAGGCCGATGGCAGTCAACTCGACTACCCGACTCCAGGCCTCGGAACCTGCAGGGAGGAAGACGCACGGGCGGGAACATCCAGAAGCAAAATGCCTCCGAGGAGCCCACCAGCACCCGCGTACCCGGTCACCTAGGCAACCGCCCAGCGCACATGCGCAGAAAGACCACCTCTTCCAACCCCCCCCCCCCACATACACACAGAGCGAGCGCTCCCTCACGCTACGAGGGCCGGGTGGACCCAAAACGGATGCGCCGCGCAGCGCACGCCTTACCGCGACGTAGCCCAGCATCAGGACAGTAACCAGCGAGGGCAGAGGTCGGGCTGTGCGGAAAAAGGTGGAGGCATTCCGCCGGACCTCGGACTTGGCCTCCACCATCTTGAAAGCCTAAGACTCGAAGCAGTCCCCGCCCCATCCAGGGAAAACCAGGCGGGCCGGATCCTCAGGATCTAGAACGCGGCGAGCCGCAGGCTCACGTGGCGCCCGCACTTTCATTTTTTTCTTCCCTCTCGGGCCCTACAGGCGCGACCTAGAGTCCGGGACTCCTCACTGCGCACGCGCACCTTCTATTCCCGGCCCACCACGCGCGCCTCCTGCTACGAGGGGACGCGGAAGACGCGGGCCACCGCCCTTACCGTGTAGTACCCGAAGGACACGGGGATGACCGTGAACCACAACAGGCTGCTCCTCCGGAAGTAAGCGGCGTCGCTTGTGGCTAGTGCCATCGCAGCAGCAGATGGCTGCAGCATGCACGCCAGCTCCGGCTGCTGCTGCTGCTGCTGCTGCTGCTGCTGCTGCTGCTGCTGCTGCTGCTGCTGCTGCTGCTGCTGCTGCTGCTGCTGCTGCTGCTGCTGCTGCGTGTGAGCAGGGGCAGGGCTTGGGCAGAGCCCGCCCCCAAAGGTGGAAATAGGGGCGGGATTTGGGCAGAGCCCTCCCACGAAGGTGGAAATGGAGGCGGGGCTTTGGCAGAGCCCGCCCCCGAAGGTGGAAACAGGGGCGGGGTTTGGGGAGAATTCCCCCCCAGGTGCAAACAGGGGCGGGGCTTGGGGAGAATTCCCCCCAACAGGTGGAAATAGGGGTGGGGCTTGGGCAGAGCCCGCCCCCAAAGGTGGAAATAGGGGCGGGGTTTGGGCAGAACCCTCCCACGAAGATGGAAATAAGGGCGGGGCTTATGGAAATAGGGGCGGGGCTTGGGCAGAGCCCTCCTCCAAAGGTGGAAACAGGGGCGGGGTTGGGGGAGAATTTCCCCCCCCCCCAACAGGTGGAAGCTGGGCCCGGGCTTGGAAGCTTGGAGAAGATTCTGCAGATTCAAAAGCTTTGGAAGCTATTTTATCTGCAGAATGCCTGCCAAGCACGCACAAGGCCCTGAGTTAACAAAAAAAGATTGGCCTCCTAGTTATCAAGACCTACATAAAGAACTATATAATTTAAAAACTTTGGTATTTCACATGCAAAAATCAATACATAGAGCCATGGAAAAAGAGTGCTCAGATGCAGATCTGATTTATATCTAATCACTTATTTTGTAATGAAGGTAATGCTTCAATAAAGGAGGATCAAGTGGCTAATCCACCAAATTATTCTGAGCAATTTGTTATCTATTTGGGGAAAAAAATAACCTCTACTTTTCACCATTAATCCATCATAAATGTAGTGTCATAGGGCGCAGAGATAAATAGTCCTCCCAAGAGACCTCTGACTATTGGCAGGAAAGTAGAATTGGCCTTTTATAGAAAGGCTGGGAAAGGTGGATGTGGCTCTCTCCCACTCAGTAGTCCAGGAGAGCAGGAAACAGGCTGCTGCATTCAATACTTTGAGCCTCCAATTATGGTGGCTTTCCTAATAAATCTCCTTGAAGTTATTTCTCAGAAATAATGTTTCACAAGCTATCCTAACCAAGAGCCAAACTTTCCTTCATTACAATACCAATATCTCAACTCAGAAGAGCTAAAGCTTCTTTTCCACGACTTGGGAAGTTGGAAGGGGCCTGTTGCCACACTAAGTGCACTCATATGCACTCACATGATGAGATGACAGTTTTCTCCCCTCCTGAATAAACATTCCCTACCCAAATGAACTGCATGTTTTGGTGGTGATTCTTCCTGGTTTCCGTTTTTTGCTGCAAAGAAACATTGCTTGAATGACAGCTGTTTTTCTTGATGTTCTGATTTGGTTCCTGCTAAGAGATAGGGTGCTGAGATAAACCATGGAAAGGTTCCAGAATCCCATTCAAGATCACAGACTGAGGTGTGGGAATCTAAACAAACTAAAAATATGAATATAGCATTGAGTGGTGTCCTGAGAGCCCAAAGCAGTTTGTGTGTGTGTCTATAAGTTAAAAAAAAGTGTGGCCGGGCGCTGGTGGCTCACGCCTGTAATCCTAGCTACTCAGGAGGCTGAGATCTGAGGATCGCGGTTCAAAGCCAGCCCGGCCAGGAAAGACCGTGAGACTCCTATCTCCAATAAACCACCAGAAAACCGGAAGTGGCGCTGTAGCTCAAGTGGTAGAGCGCTCGCCTTGAGCTGAAGAGCTGAGGGACAGCGCCCAGGCCCAGAGTTCAAGCCCCACGACTGACCAAAAAAAAAAAAAAAAGTGTGAAATTGAGTGAGGAAAGATGAGGCTATAAAGGCAGGAAGAGGGGCTGGGAAGGTGGCTCAGTGGTAGAACGCTTGCCTTGCATGCATGAGGCCCTGGGTTCGATTTCTCAGCACCACATAAGCAAAAAGAAAAAAGCCGGAAGTGGCGCTGTCGCTCAAGTGGTAGAGCGCTAGCCTTGAGCTGAAGAGCTGAGGGACAGCGCCCAGGCCCAGAGTTCAGGCCCCATGACTGGACCCCCCCCCCCCCCCCAAAAAAAAATAAAGGCAGGAAGAGACCTGATCAAGCATGGCATTGGGCATTAAACTGAGAAGTTTTATTTGATTGCTTGGTCAAGGTGAGTTCAATTGTTGGTATTTTATAATAATTATTAGGTTTTTTAAACAATAGAGGATTCTTGAAAATGTCTGGTGTACATGGATGGAGACAAAGATGGAAGTGGGGGAAATGAAAGATTGACTTAGAAGTGTGGTAAGGATGCAAAGAAGTTTCTATCATTTCCTCAACTATTCAAAAAGTGTTTCTGCCAGGCGTCAGTGGCTCATGTCTGTAATCCTAGCGACTCAAGAGGCTGAGAGCTGAGAATCATGAATCAAAGCCATCTTAGCAGGAAAGTTAACAAGACTCTTCAGAAAACCAGTAAAAAGCAAAAAGTAGAAATGTAGCTCATGTGGTAGAGCATCAGTCTTGAGTGAAAAAGCCAAGGGACAGAACCTAGGCCCTGAGTTTAAGCCAATACACCAAGACACAGACACAGACAGCCAGATAGACAGACAGATACACACACACACACACACACACACACACACACACACACACACACACACACACACAAGTATTTCTGAGGACCCATTTAGTGAGAGGCACAATGCTGAACCCTGGAGACATAACTCTCAACAAGACCAGTGTAGATGTAGTCAGGGGTCTTGCGTTGGGTGAAGCATAGTTCACATGACAGGCTAATGAATAATCAGTTAGGGTCAGTGCAATAATATCTTAGTAAAAGTTTTGGCATATTTTTTTGCAAGTATGAAGATTTTATTGTTCTTTAAAAGTATTCAGGATTGGGTTTGAAATCAGGCTACAGACCTTTCATCAACCGGATGTTTTTCTTGTATCAAACTGGCTTTGGCTAGCAATACTTCTCATTTAGTCCAAAAGAGAATAATTGTTTTAATTTTGCAGAAAAAAAATCCAATTCTGAGGAAAACTCTACCATTAAACTGGCATGATGAGTAGGGTGCCAGTGGCCCATACTTGTAATCCTAGCTGAGATATGGAAGATCTAAGTTTGAAGCCAGTCTGGGCAGAAAAAGTCCACAAGATCCCGTATGCAATTAATGCCAGACTAGAATGTGGCTCAAGTGGTAGAGCCCCAGGTAAGCAAGCCCAGCAAGAAGAAAAGGCCCCAAATTTAAGCCCAAGTATCAGCACAAAACAAAATGAACAAAAAAAACCCAAATAAAACAAGGACTAATATTTCATGTTGTTTTATATGCCCTTCTCACAATCAGGAGAATTCTGACATAGGCATGCACAAATACATATGGATTCTATGTAGGCGTGTGCACACACTGGAAACACAGTCCCCTAAACAACAAAACTCATGGCATGGCACGTCAAATAAAAAAGGGAGGGCTTGATGGTATTAATCAAAACTTCTGGACTTTTTACTTTTCTTGTACTGTCATGGGTTTTGTTCTTCATATCCCGCGTGGTTAGCTGCTCCCCGGTTTCCTCCTTGGCACTCCCAATAGCAGGGGAATCTCTTCCATTCCCTATCACTTGCATAATTTTATTTTTAACCATTAAATTTCTTGGTGCTAACTTTGCAGTTGGACCGTAGCCACTGCCGACAGCTGGGAGTGGATGCAGCAGGTTAGAAAGAAGTGGGAGGAGTTGGGGATGGTGGCGCATGTCTGTAATCCTAGCTACTTGGGAGGGTGAGCTCTGATGCTTGTGTTTTGAAGTCAGCTGAGCCAGGAAAGTCCTGAGACTTTTTTTTTTGGACAGGTCTGGGCACTGTCCCTGATCCTCTTTGTTCTCAGGCTAGCATTTCTACCACTTGACCCATAGCAGCACTTCCAGACTTGAATAGTTTATTGGAGATAGGAATCTCTAGGGACTTTTCTGCCTGGGATGGCTTAGAATCTGAATCCTCAGATCTCAGCTTCCTGAGTAGCTAGGATTATAGGGAGTCACCAGCACCTGGCTTTTTCTTTTTTTTTTTTTTTTTTGGGTCCGGTCGTGGGGCCTGAACTCTGGGCCTGGGCACTATCCCTCAGCTCTTCAGCTCAAGGCTAGTCCTCTACCACTTGAGCCACAGTGCCACTTCTGGCTTTTTTCTTTTTGCTTATGTGGGGCTGAGGAATCGAACCCAGGGCCTCGAGCATGCAAGGCAAGCGCTCTGAGCCACCTTCCCAGCCCCAACACTTGGCTTTTTCTAATGAACTTCTTGATCACATGTTATGCAAAAGGAGACTGGAGCCCAGATAGATGAGATATGAGATATAAAGATTACAATTTGCAGCATGTACAGCCAGAAAAAAAACAAAAACTGAGAGTCATGTTAATTAACCAGCAAAAAGTCAAATGTGGAGTTGTGGCCCATATAGAAGAGGGTCAGCTTTGGGTGACAAAAACTAAGGGACAGCAGCCAGGCCCTGAACTTAATCCACAGTAGTAGTGTGCGCATGTGTGTGCACGCACACGCACATGCGTGCGCACACACACACACACACACACACACACACACACACACACACGTAATATTTTTGCAACTCATTGAGATATTTGTAAATCCTGATATAAGATGTCAGTATTTCTGGAAATCTTTAGACAGAACGTCGTAACAGTGCTACAAGCCTTCAATTTTAGTTTATCACTGTAATTTTAGCTACTTAGGAGGCTGAGTCAGATGATCCAAGTTTGATGTTACTCTGGGCAAACAAAAACTTTGACTTGTATCTAAAATTAACCAGACAAAAGCTGGAAGTGGATTTGTGGCCCAAAGAAATGAGTGCCAGTGGAGTCAAACAAAGCACAAAGCTCTGTTTTCAAGACAAAACAACATACACACACACACACACACACACACACACACACACACACACAGAAAATGTATTAGCTGTCAGATTGGATTCTGAGCCTATTCATAAAACAAGTTTTTGGGATGGCCCACAAATGCTTGTCTTGCCTTTATGACTAAAATTATGGACTGAGGATTATAAAGTGGTTCAGGGCACTGAGTGGAAGAAGAGGGCAGGTATGACCCAGGAGGGACTCAGGTGTGGCAGTGGGAGGAGGGAGTCTGTTAGCTCAGCCTTCAAAAAACCCCCCAAACCCTTCAAATTCAAGTAATAATGACCAATGATGACAAGAATTAGGGTCTGCGCAGGATTTTGCCCTAGCAGTATTCATAAATGCCTCCAGGTTTTTTAGGCTTGTTGGAAAAGTGATTAGTGATGGCAGATGTAAAAACTCAATAAATGTTAGCTATGCTTTTTTCATTGTTTACTGTAGAGGAAATTAAATGCTAAATTGTGGGAGAAAAAGAGAAGCAATAGTTAAAATTTATCTGGAGGGAACATAGAATCTATGAATGGGGAGGGGCTGGGAAGATGGCTCAGTGGTACAGTGCTTGCCTTGCATGCATGAGGCTCTGGGTTTGATTCCTCAGCACCACATAAGCAGAAAAAGCAGGAAATGGGGCTGAGGCTCAAGTGGTAGAGTGCTAGCCTTGAGCTGAAGAGCTGAGGGACAGCGCCCAGGCCCAGAGTTCAGGCCCCACCACTGACAAAAAAAAAAAAAAGAATCTATGAATGGGGAATGACTATAAACCATTTCCTCAAGTAGGCTCCCATACTTATAGCTCATACCTGTAATCTAAACCACTCAGGGGGCTGAGAGGTGAGAGACAATAAAACAACGAAGAGGCAGACTAGATGTATGGCTCAAATAGGAGAGCTGTAGCTGGGAGCCAAAAAGCCAAGTGAGAGCCTGAGGCCCTGAATTCGTGGTGTTAAAAGCCACTCTATTGAACCTTTAGTTTGTCATTCCCCCCAAAAATACAGGTTTCTATTGTGATAGGAATGTTCAATAGCTTTAGGGAGCATGTTCCCTTCTGGTCATGGAAAGGCAAAATGCTACATTTTTGCAATTAGAAAACCAAAACCAAAACATAATTTGATTTAAGGGAAACACTTAATATCACCCAACTACTGGGAATAGGAACTTCAAAATTTCCCTGGATCACCAACATCAAGAAAATGTCCTTAATAATATCAATAATAATAATTGTCAGTTTTGGGGCTTGAATACTGTCCCTGAGCTCTTCAGTTTAAGGTTAGCACTTTACCCAGGAGCCACTGTGCAGCTGAAAGATTAAAAATTAGAGTTACATTTTACAATTGCTAGCTGCTGATTTCCCTTTTGTAAACTTGCTCGTGCTAGCACTAACTCACCCCCCCCCCCCCCACCTTTCTGGAAATAAGAAATTGAGTAAAAAGTCTTGGAGTCCAGATGCCAGCTCCAGGACAAGGTCTGTGGTCATAGATAAAGAACAAACAGGTATATGTTTTTCTAGTTCCTGTTTGGAAATTCCCTAAGTGGCCAAATGGGACCCAACATAAGGACCCAAGATAAGGACCCAAGATAAGGACCACCTGGCAAGTCCAGCAAACTAGGCCAAATGTTAATCAATCACAAGCCTGTAACTATGTAAACTCCCCTCCAGGGTGACCGCTCCCCCTAGACTTGCCCGGAGCCAACTGTTTTACAAAGAGTGTTATAAACTTCCCCGCAGTAATAAAAATGATTGCTGGAGTGTATAGTGACTTTTAAATGGGCCAATCCCTGGACACCCGGTGTTATATGCTAATCTTGTGGTTTTTGCCTTTAAGAATGCCTGTAACCACTGCTCCGGGCTCTCTCCCTTGCCGAGGCAGAGAGACCTTTTGCCCAAATGCTGAATAAACTCCTCTTGCTTGTGCATCTACTGGTTTGGAGTCTTGGTTTCTGGGGGCGCCCTCCCGTAGACGAAAGTATCCCAAGGGTCTGGGGTCTTTCACAGCTTCCTGTTTTCTTTTCTTTATTAGAAGTAAGAATCTCATGGACTTTCCTGCTTAAATTGGCTTTGAACTGTGATCCTCATATGTCAGCCTCCTGAATAGCTAGGATTACAGGCGTGAGCCAACAGCCCTCCGCTCCCTAAATTCTTGAGAGGAAAAAATAGAAGCAATAAGGAAACAGAAACACTCAAGCTTCCAGTCTTTATGTCAACTGTGGCAATAGGTACCATTTTCTTTCTAACCACACGATCATTTAAATTACCACCCTCAAATTTGTCTTTGGTGAAAGGCTTTTCGTGCTGGAAGTCTTGGGGGTGGCATCTAAGCAGGTGTATTTGGGACCAGAGGTGCAGAGAGCATCTGAGCCTGGGAAAACTGCCTAGCCTGGGGCAGACAATTTCTCACAGAAGATGGGGCACAGCTGAGTGGCAGTTCTAAGCATGGCATGGAAGAAACTCTGTGCAGCATTTGAATACATCCTGACCTTTCCTTGTCCAAGATAATGGGAAAGGACTTAGTTACCAAACTTGCTTGCTTTCAGAGAGTGCCTTGTGTGTGGGCACAACTGCCCTGCAGAGCCTACTAAGGTGAATATGAAAGCAACTTTTGCAAAGTAAAACAAGAATGAAGAGATTGGCTCAGTGTTTGCTGACTGAGGAAGGTTGATTATAAGATCTGGCTAGATGGGAGCCAAGTTGACCCTTGCCAGTAATGTCTACAAGAGGAATGAGGATAAAGGAGGGGCCGATTGGGTGAAGGAAAGAATGGTAGCCAGGGAATAAGTGTGTGGCTCTGCTGCGTGGTCTTGCTAGCTAGCTGGAGGTCTGGAAAGGAAAGTCATCCATGGTGTGAATGTAAGAGTCTCAAAAACAGGGGCTGAGAAGGTGGCTCAGTGGTAGAGCACTTGCCTTACATGCATGAGGCTGTGGGCTCAATTCCTGAGACCCACATAAGCAGAAAAAGGCCGGAAGTGGCGCTGTGGCTCAAGTGGTACAGTGCTAGCCTTGAGCTGAAGAGCTGAGGGACAGTGCCCAGGCCCAGAGTTCAGGCACCACAACTGATCAAAAAGAAAAAGAAAAAAGAAAAAGAAAAAGAAGCCTTAAAAAAAAAACCCACAAAAACTTACTAGAACCTTGAGTTAGAGCAGGAAAAAGGAAATACAAACCAGAGAAATCAGTCTAGGTGTACCATACTTCTTTTTGTGGTCATTGTTGTCATTAGACTAAGTCAGACCACATAAATTTCTATTTAATTGTTTGAATACATAGTTTGGCACATGTATCTAACAGGCCTACAGAAATAAACATCTGATTAATTCTTGACCTTTTTAAAGTATTTATACCAACCAATAATTTAGTCATGTGGATTAAGAAAAACATACACACAAAAGCTCCTGGAATTCTTTGAAAAACATATTTTTTTTTAGCCTGGATCCCTTCTGTAGCTCATACTGGCCTTAAAATTGATATGTGTCACTGCCTGACCTTGAACTCCTGCTTCTTCTGCTTCAGGCTCTGAATGCTGGGGCTACAGGGGTGCATTATCCCACAGGGCTTTTGTTGTTTTGCCTTTCCCCTACATTGTCCTTTGAGATTATAGTGAAATGGATCACAACACCAATGAAGTCACAAGGCAGAAAACACTCTGAAAACGGACAGTGAAAATATAACTTAAAAGTGGCTGACTCCTAGCAATATATGCAAAAATGAACTATGTTAACAAAAAGCTCAAGTAATATTCTTTTTTCTCCCTCTTTCTCTTCTCCCCTCTTTCTCCTTCCTTTCTTCCAGATCTCCCTTCACTCCATCTTCCCTCCTTCCCTCCCTTTCTCTCCCTTTCCCTGCTTTCCTCCCTTCCTTTCTCTCCCACCCCAGGGCCATGAGGCAAAGTCTCCTATTGTCTAGGTAAATCTCAAACCAGCTCAAGCTGATTTTCAATGCTTAATCCTCCTACTCAGGTCTCCTCAGTGCTGGGATGAAAGGAATGTGGAGCCAAGGCAGTCAGGAACATTCTTGTGGTTTCAGTGGCCTGTGGCTACAACTTTCTGCTCCCCTGTGATTGTGATGAGGATCTAAAACCTGAAGTGCAGGGTGTAGAGCTCTTGGTAGACTTCCTTGTATCCTTTTTTATTTTGTTACCTTTCCTTTTTCTCCTTGACCTTGCAGCCATCCTGATGGGTTTTCCTCCTCATGACTCTCCTGGCCAGCCTGCTCCCCTGTTTCCTCATTAACACTAGCAGGGAAGGGGTAACCCTTCCATTAATTCTCCCTGCAACACCTCTTTCCCATTAAGGTCCCTGGTGCTAACTCCACAGTTGGCTGATGGCCACTGCTGACAGGTGGGAGTGGATGCATCTGAGTAGTATTTATTCCAGCTGCCCAGGACTGATAGGATTTGAACCTACCTTGGTGAAAGGAGGATGCAGCACTCAGTCAACCTGGAAGAAAGCCTTTTATTAGCCATGTGGTGTCTGTGCCAGCTCGCAGACCTGGAGCACAGGCCCATTTGGTTTTCATGGGGGCTTTTTATAGGAAGGAGTTTCACAGAGGTGATGTTCATCAAAGTGAGCAAGCAAGGGTACATAGCCTTGACTCAGAAGACAATAGGCCCAACACAATTTTGACTTAACATGATTGATACTATCAATACTGTTGACATTTTACAAAAAGTCAAAACATATCCTGTGCTTACAGAAGTCAAAACATTACCTTGAGAAGTGGATGTATATTCTAACTCTCAAAACATTACAAATTTATTCCCACGGTTGGGGATGCACTGAAATTTTTATAGAAATTTATATATAGAAACTTAAAGAAATAATTTTTATTATAAACTTCTGATTCATACAGCAACTAGCAACTCAGTACAGTCGGTGATAAGCCTCAAGGTTGTCAGCAAACTTTGTGGAAACTTAAAAGCTGCCAGCCTGGGAATCTCAGAGAAGAGGGAGAGACGTTCTTTTGCTTTTTAGCAAGGATGTAAAGAGGCTAAGGCTGAAGCCTGGTGGGAGGTTTGTGCCCATTATCAAGAATTTTCTTCTGTTTTCTGATGTCCTATTTTGATCCCATAGAGATCCCTCTTTTCCAAGGGAAAGGGGACCAAGGGGAGCAAGTAGGTCTCCTGCAGCAGGAGGAACTGAGGCAGGATAATAGAAGGACCTTCTTGCTAGTGAATAGTAATTCAGATAACTTGATTTTGGTTGGGTCTTCACAGCAGCCTAAAAAGAAAGTGGGAGGAGTTGTGGCTAGTGGCGTATGCCCTCAATCCTAGCTACTCAGTAGGTTGAGAACTGAGGATAGTGGATTGAAGCCAGCTGAGTCAGGACAGTCCCTGAGACTCTTATCACCAATTAACCAAAGAAGGCCAGTAGGAGACCTGAGGCTCCACTGGTAATCTTCCAGCATTGAGCAAAACAGCTAAAGGACAGTGCCTCGGTCATGAGTTCCAGCACTAATCTGAGTGCACATACCTAGGCACACAAACACATGCCTAAAAAATAGCTTGCAAGTATTATCTAAGTCTTCCTCCTTATTTGGGAAGGGACGGAATTCCACAGTTGTAAAAAAACAAAACAAAAAAAACCCCAAAAAGCTCCAAGGCCTACAGTTTCCTCAGCTGTACAATGGCGGTTTTTAGCTATTTTACAAGACTGCTTGCTTTTCTTGTTTCTTGAGATAGGGTGTCTCTGCATTGACTAGGCTGGCCTTGAGCTCTAATCCTCTTTCCTCAGTCTCCCAGAGAGCTGTAATTATAGGCCTGGAGATGCACTAACTAGCAGTGTGTGAAAGGTGAATGAAACAAAATTTGGTCATGTGAATGATAGATTGCCTGTACATTGTCTTTATTACATGATCTTCTAGATCCTTCTACCTCTGATCTCAGTTATGCATTAAGTGTGTGATTATTTATAGGTTTTTAAGTGTTCAGAATCACCTATGAACCAGGCAAGGCTTCCGCCCTCACAGAGAGGAATATGCCATGCTGGCATATTATATTGACAGCAACAAGATTAGAGTACTAGTTCAGCATTCACAATTTCTGGGTTAACCCTAATACTGATAGGATGAGAAGATTCTGGGGAATAAAGACAGTATCAGAGTATGCCCCATAAGATTTATAAAGTTCTGTTTAGGTGAGGCCAACAGATCCATAAATAGCAGGGCTGGGCGATGCAAGTGCTGGTGCGGGAAGTTCTCTAGGGTGGGTCTAGGGTGGGTTTTTATGTGTCTATATAAACCCTGGGTAGGATTGGAGTTCTCATCAAATCTTAGAAAGGCCCTGACCCAGTGTGAGCTGTCTTCTCTTCCAAGCTCGGAAAGGCCCTGGACATCTTCTCTAGCCACCTCTGAGAACTCCTACAGGACAGCTTTAACATGACTTCCCAAAGTGAGTTCCTCTCATGCTGAAGTGACATGGGTTTGCTTTTGTTTTTGACCAGACTGGCCACTTCCACATTAGGATTATTGGAAGATTGGGGTTCTTAATCTTTTTAAGGCCAAATTTGTTAGATTGAGGGAGGAGGAATATAGCTCAGGTCATCTATGTCACTGTGTATGGCTGTTGGACAGAACTGGGATATAGGAGTATTTTCTCAGAGGCTTGGGTATTTAAAAATGGGTCTGTGGTTCCATTAAATGAGATGTGTTTTAGAAGGAAATATGGCAGAATATGCAGGTAAAATGGCACACCTAAGAATGTTGTAAAATGATGAGGATGGGTGTAGAAAGAATTAGTGTTTGTGTGTGTGTGGGGAGGGGCTGAGGTAGTAGAATAGTTTGCAATCTTTAGGTTGCTGAGCATTGAGGTTGGCTGGTAGATTCATCAGGCCTTGTACTCTGTGCTCTCCTGTGTGTTAGAGGTTTAGTAGAATGGAACGGGATGTGGCTTGTTGGCAGAGTCCTTGCTTCGCACACAAGGCTCAGGGTTTGATCTCCATTACTGAACAAAACACAGAAACAAACCAAACAGGGCACAGAGTTTAACTTTATGAAAAGGTCTATGAGGTAAACTGCAGATTTCTCTAACTTGGAACCTAGAAGATGAAATGGTCTTCTTGGGAAGGTGGTGTGCAGCATCTGCCTCGGATTTCTCTTTCTACATGGGCCTGAATTGAGGCAGGGGGAATGCTTTTTTGGGGGGAGGTGGGGTCTGGTCGTGGGGCCTGAACTCTGGGCCTGGGCACTGTCCCTCAGTTCTTCAGCTCAAAGCTAGCACTCTACCACTTGAGCCACAGCGCCAGGGCCTCATGCATGCAAGGCAAGTGCTCTACCACTGAGCCACCTTCCCAGCCCAGGGGGAATGCTTTGTGTTCAGCTCCATCACAAAGCAGAGTTAATTCACCACCTCCAAATCTCTACTGGGTAAGATAAGGTAGAGGTGCATTTGAGAGTACTGAACTTTACACCTACTGAGTATCCAGGTTTCCCGGGGGGGGGGGGGGGGGGGGGGGGCTAGGAAATAGCTTCCAGTGCCCTTTGTGGCCAGGCTTGGAATTCTTTACAATTCATTTATTTTGCCGTTCTTGGGGTTTGAACTCAGGGCCTGGGTTATGTCCTTAAGCTTCTTTCTCACTGAAGGCTCACTCTACCATGTGGGTCACAGCTCAACTTCCAGCTTTTTGGGTAGCTGGATAAGAGTCTCAGGAGCTTGCCTGCATGGACTGGCTTTAAATTGTGATCCTGAGATTTCAGCCTCCTGAGTAGCTTGGATTACAGGCTAGCCACAGCCTCTGAGTCATTTCTTTCCTTCTTTCCTTCTTGTTGAAAACAGTGATTCACTTTTAAATCTTGGATAATCTGGAGTTTGATCCTTGGGAAAAATTATAATTTTTTCCCAAGGATCAATGAGTGATTTCTTTCTCTGCATGACACTTATCTTTAATGGTTTGTTTTTGTATTCTATCAGGATCTTCAGAAGAAAACAATCTTAACCCTATGAGAAGTGGTGGAAAACAGCGACATAAATTTTCCAAGAAAGACTTGGAGATCCTTAAGCAATCATTTAAAGAGGTCCCTTACCCTGATTTTACAACCAGAGAGCAGCTGGCCAAGCAATTAGGATGTTACCTCATTGTAATTGATGTAAGTGAACTCTGTCAAGCTTTGTGGGAATACCTCTCTCTATTTGGTAGGGAGTATAGGAAATGTAAAGAATTGTGAGGGGGAGGTGGTTGTGGAGGTGGGAGGGAAGGGATGGTAGGGAAAAAACAAAGGAGGAGGCCACTTTGCTCAATAGGAAATGTATTCATTACCATGCTTACATAACTGTAACCCCTCTGTACAGCATTTTTTTTTTTTTTTTTTGGCTGATCGCAGGGCCTGAAATCTAGGCCTGGGTGCTGTCCCTCAGCTCTTTAGCTCAAGGCTAGTGCTCTACCACTTGAGCCACAGCACTACTTCTGGCTTTTTCTGCTTATGTGGTGCTGAGGAATTGAAATCAGGGCCTTGTGCATGCAAGGCAAACACTCTACCACCGAGCCACCTTACCAGCCCCTGTACAGCATTTTTACAATAAAAAATGTACAAAAAAATTGTGAGAAAGTTCCATCCTTCTTCCTCACATAGGATGGAGTTAATATTTGGTCACTGGTTTTCATGTTATTTTGGGGCCTGGATGTATGGATTGCTCATTCTTTGAATGGAAGGTCAGTTACTCAGGTCCAGTTGGGATGCAGAGATAGGTGAAGAGGTTGCTGAGAGTAAATTGGCTTTGACTAGCATGTTTGCTGTGGAATTCTACTTTATGTCAAAGACTGAATAATTTGAAGGTAGAGACAGGATATTGGTGGAGTTAGGATAGGGAGAGAAGGAGAAGCTCTAAAACTCTTTCTTGAGGAAGTAGAAGATTGGAGGTGTTCTTGACTGTCAGTGGTTTGTTAGTGGTTGGAGATTTTGACAGAGACCTTAGGTGTTTACCTGGGACACATCAAGACTAGTGTGCCAAGTAGCTCTAAGAGGACAGTGTCCCTCTAAGTTCAGAAGCACAAATGGAACGCTCAGGAGAAAGGACTTGTCTTGTCCATGTAAAATACCCACAAGTGGTACTTACCCCACCACTGGTGGCCAGATTCTGTTTTGTTTGGGCAATTCATTTTATTATGATTATAAAACTGTTAGTGATATATGTGTTTGTGTATGTGTGTGTGCAGATACGTGTGTTTGTATATTTCTGCTGTTGAACCCAAGGCCTCCAGCTGTCTAGAAACAGGCCATCAACTGAGCTATACACCTTTTGATAGGATTGTTTTTGTGAATAAATTGTCAATTTGCAATAAATTAGTAGCACAGATTTTATGGGTGAGACATCAGCACCTGGCTTTTTAAAAGCTTAACCTAAAGGACTTGTAGAATTGTAGTTTGTGTGTATAAGTGTCAATATTTTCGGGTGCCAGTGGCTCATGCCAGTAATCTTCATGACATAGGAAGCTGAGATCTGAGGGCTCTCACTGAAGAAAGCTTATTAGACTCCATATAGCCAGCCAGTGTGGCTCAAGTGGCAGAGTACCAGTTGAGCAAGTGCAAAGTGTCCTGATTTCCAACCCTAGCATTACCAACATATACTTTTGACCCATGAATGCACTGTGTTAGGGCAGCTTGAGTAAAATTAAAAAGGTGGGAACATGTGTGGGGAACAGCTAGGAAGGAGTCTGTTCTGTTTGCCTGCAGAGGATTCTAACAGGTTTTCAGGAATGTCTAGGTGTCTTCTTTGAACAAGGGGTGAGTTGAGGATTTGGAATGGTGAACAGTACAAAATCTGCATTCCAATGTCTTATACATTCATAACAACAAGTTCATGAATTCACCAAAGATTGCCTTAATTTTTATGCCATCCCAAGGCCAGAAACCACTTCAGTGATAGTGGTGAGTTCTCATTAAACTACAAGCTATTTCTGACACAATGGATCTGTAGTATGGGATGTTACTTGAATACCAATGATTAACAATGTATTTTTTTAATATTTTTTTAGAATTGGTTCCAAAATAAAAGAGCCAGACTAACACAGGCAGAGAAACTGAAGATGTTATCCAAGCGAATGCTGTACAAGCAACCTCCCCAAGAAAATCTGGATTTACACAGCAATGATGCCCAGGCCTCATCTCCACTGGGCAGACAGAGCTATTGTCCTAGGGAGAAGCCGAGGCTGTCTGGAAAGGAGAATGCCGGCCAGTGCGACCCTGTGGTGGAGGATCGGAAAATGAGCCCAAGATGCACTTTGAAACATCAAGGAGAAACCGGAAGTGGCCCTTCGTCCAGCTGGGGATCCTCCTTTGGGGATCAGCCTTCCACTTCAGAGCTCTATCAGCAGAGGGGCAGTGCTGGGCTGGGAGAAAGCCAGCCCAGCCCACCCTCCTTTGTCATTTTGTTCAGAGTGCACAGGGCGCCAGGCAGCAGCAGCAGCCCTCCCATGATTATTACTCACCATTGCAAGGACAGCAGCAGAGGGGTTGGGAATATTTCCAGCACCTGCCACAGCCTCTGAATGACCCACAGCAACAGCCATGTCAGAATCAGTTTCTGATGCAGCAGAATCCTTGGGACTTAGGGCAGCAGGTTCAGTGGGGTCAAGGTCACCAACTTGCCCTTTGTTCTCAGATGGAGCCTGCCCCCTACACAGGACAGTCAGTTCTCCACCCCTGCCTCCTACAGAACATAAACAGGCAGCTCATGCAGAGAAACCTGGGAAACTGCTAGCTGTAGGCCCCACATCATTCATCCAGCCTGCCATGGTGTTAGGAAACAGGCCTTCCCGGGACCCAGCATAGTGGGCTTCACTTTGATGATATGTGACTGGTTATTTTTTTTTTTTTTTTTGGTGTTTTCTGGATGTAGAGTTTGAGGCTCTTGCTCTACAACTAGAGCTACAGCTGATGGATATAGAGTTTGAGGCTCTTGCTCTACAACTAGAGCTACTGATGGGTTTTTGGTGATTGTTGATAAGATTCTAGAAGACACCCTACCCCCTACTCCGGAGCTTGCTTAGAACTGTGTTGCTCTGATCTCTGCCTCCTGAGTAGCTGGGATTATAGATGTGAGTCACCACTGCCTGGTAACCATGAATTTTATATTTGACTTTGAGAAAGCAGGGCTTGAATATTGAGTCCAAACCAACAAGCACAGAGGTAGCAATGGCCAATGAGAAACAACATGTGCTTCAGATAGACAGTGGCTCTGCCTCTCAAGAACTCAAAAACAACTCTAACATCAGACAGGAACAAGCTCAGCCCAGAAGTGTGTCCGTCCCTCCCTGGATACTTCAAAGCTCTCCTGTGGGGACTAGCAGAGCATCACCTGAAGAAGCATTCAAGCCTTCATAAACCTTGACTGAAGTTACATAGGAAGGACTTTTAGCATGACTTCTTTTGGACATTTGACTTCTTTTTAACATACGAAATGATGTGTGATTTCATGTCTTCGAATGTGTCTGATTTTTTCAACAGATGACTTATATGAAATAGAGATGTTAGTTTTTCATACAAAATCTTTGAAATCCATGATGCATACTACAATACTAATATATTACTTTATAAAAATGGCTCATCTTGGGCTGGGAAGGTGGCTCAGTGGTAGAGCGCTTGCCTTGCATGCTCGAGGCCCTGGGTTCGATTCCTCAGCACCACACAAGCAAAAAGCAAAAAAGCCGGAAGTGGCACTGTGGCTCAAGTGGTAGAGTGCTAGCCTTGAGCTGAAGAGCTGAGGGATAGTGCCCAGGCAAAGAGTTCAGGCCCCACAACCGGACCCCTCCCCCCCCCAAAAATGGCTCATCTCCATTTGAACACCAAGTTTTCATCAGATGACCAGAGGCCAAATAATTTGAATTCCTGGAAAATATATTTCATTTGGCCCATGTGAATTCTCAGTGGTACCATTTGCACAGTCTTTGAACTGTTGTGGTAATTTCATTAACTATGTGACTGGAAATCCAAATTCACATACCCAAGTGGAGTGTTCATGTATGTATATGAATGTACCAACATTTGAATAAAGGATCAAATTCCAGGACCACAAATGCTGTTTTGAGTGTTTACTTGTGACATGATCATGGGTACTGTATGGGACAACACAGACGTAGACAATAGAAAGTTCTTGATTCTGTTTTAGGCAGGCCAAGCTGCCAGATGAGTTTCCTGGTCAGCTGCCTGCCTTCCCTAGGAAGGGGGTGCTCTGAGTCTTACTGGTATAAGCCAGACACCATGTGTAGTTCTCAGTGGTGGTCACAACATGCCGAGAGCAGTGTCTTCTGCAGGAAGCTCCTGATCTAGGGAAGAAAATGGTCACAGCTGTGCTGCAGGTGACAAGGGCTGTGATGTCAGACAGTGTCTGTCTATGGAGTGACAGTGAAGAGCTTGTCTTGGAGGGGTGTTTGGTGCATACTATTAGATTTCAGAGAAAAATGGGTACTGGAGACTTAGGCATGTAATCCTAGATACTCCGGAGTCTGAGATATGATGATCATCAGCCTTCTAGGCTGGAAAGTGCAGGAGACCCTTATCTCTAATTAACCCCCCAAAAGGCAGAAGTGAAGCTGTCGTGCAAGTGGTAGAGTGATCACCTTGATCTAATGAAGCTAAGGGGCATTGCCCTGGCCAGGAGTTTAAGTCTCAGTGCTGGCCTGCACCCCCCCCCCCCCCACACACACACACATACAGAATTGTGAAAAAGCTATTGTCTTTTTTTGGTGTTAGAGGTGAGAATCTATAGATACACATTTAGTTAAGACAGTTGGGACAATGGAGAGTGTAGGAAACAAGCTGGGCATGGTGTCAGGTGTCACAGGCAGTGGAAGAGTAGGCCTCACCTGCCCAGCTAACAAATGCCAAGAGAATGGGGATCTTCTGTCTTAGCACAGAAATTTCTAGAAGGGCAAGATGACCCCTATTCTGTGTGCAGATTCAGAGAAGTCACACAGTAAGATAATCACCATTGCTGTATCCCTGTAATCCTACCTACTGGGAACTTGGGATCTGAAGATTAAAATTGGAAGCTTGTCCAGCCAGAAAAATCCATGAGATTCTTGTTAATTCACCAGCAAAAAGTCAAATGTGGAGTTGTGGCCCACATAGAAGAGAGCAAGCTTTGGGTGACAAAAACTAAGGGATAGGGGCTGGGAAGGTGGCTCAGTGGTAGAGCGCTTGCCTTGCATGCCTGAGGCCCTGGGTTCGATTCCTCAGCACCACATAAGCAAAAAGAAAAAACCGGAAGTGGCACTGTGGCTCAAGTGGTAGAGTGCTAGCCTTGAGCTGAAGAGCTGAGGGACAGCGCCCAGGCCCAGAGTTCAGGCACCACGACGGGACCCAAAAACAAAAACAAAAAAACAAAAACTAAGGGATAGCAGATATGCCCTGAACATAATCCACAGTAGTAATGCACACACACACACACACACACACACACACACACACACACACACACACACTTGTAATATCCTTGCAACTCATTGAGATTCTTGGTGTACATGTAGGTCCTGATTTAAGATGTCAATATTTCTGGAAATATTTAGACAGAAAGTCCTAACAGTGCTACAAGCCTACAATTTTAGTTTATGACTATAAACTGCTTAGGAGGCTGAGATTATATGATCCAAGTTTGATCTTCTCTGGGCAGACAAAACTTTAACTGATAGCTAGAATTAACCAGAAAAATCTAGAAGTGGACTTGTGGCCCAAGGGAAAGAGTGCCAGTGGAGTCAAAGCACAAACCTCTGTTTTCAAGCTCCTCTTCCTGGCATAAACAAAGCCAAACAACACAACACACACACACGTACACACAGAAAGAAAGTGTGTTAGCTGTCAGACTAGATACTAGACCTACAGAGGACCTATTCATAAAACAGGTTTTGGGGATGACCCACAAATGCTGATCTTGTCTTTAAGACTTGAGATTATGGACTGAAGGATTATAATATGCTTCAGGGCACTAAGTGCAGGAAGAGAGCAGCATGACCCAGGAGGGACTCTGGGGTTTGGCACTGGGAAGACGGAATCTGTTTGCATAACCTTAAAATAATAAAACTTCAAATTGAAATAAAGATGATCAGTGAAGGCAAGAATTAGGTTTAGTGCAAGATTCAGGCCTAATAGTAATGACAAATAACTGGAGGATTTTAGGCTTGCTTGAAAAGTGATTATCAATGGCAGATGTTAAAACTTCAATAAATGTTGGCTATGCTGTTTTTCATTGTTAGGGTAGAGGAAATTAAATGCTATATTGTGAGAGAAAAGAGAAGCAAAGGTAAAATTTATCTGGAGCCAACATAAAGACTATGAATGGGAAAAGCCATAAACTCATCTCCTCAAGTGGGCTCCCATACTGGTAGCTCTTGCCTCTAATCCTAGCTACTCAGGAAGCTGAGAGGAGACAATGAACCAACAAAGAGGTAGGCAAGATGTGTGGCTTAAGTAGTAGAGCAGGAGCTGTGAGCCAAAAAGCCAAGTGAGAGCCTGAGGCCCTGAATTCGTCTTTCCCCAAAAATGGTGTCAAAACCACTTTATTGAATCGTTACTTTGTCATTTTCCCCAAATATATGGTTTTTTATTGTGATAGGAATGAATGTTCAATAGCTTTAGGGAACATGTTTCCTTTGGGTCATGGAAAAGCAAAATGGTATGCTTTTGCCATTAGAAGAAGTCAAAATATGCTTTGAATTGAGTGAAACATTTAATATCAACCAACTATTGGGAATAGGAACGTCAACATTTTACTGGATCACCAGCATGGAGAAAATGTCCCTAAGTTCTTCAGGGAAAAAAATAGAAGCACTAGGCAACAGATAGAAGCACAAGATTCCAGTCTTTAAGTCAACTATGGCAATAAGTACCATTCTCTTTCTAACCACATGCTCATTTAAATTACCACCCTCAAATTTGTCTTTGGTGAAAGGCTTTTCGTGCTGGAACTCTTGGGGGTGGCATCTAAGCAGGTGTATATGGGACCAGCGGTGCAGAGAGCATCTGAGCCTGGGAAAACTGCCTAGCCTGGGGCAGACAATTTCTCACAGAAGATGGGTCACGGCTGAGTGGCATTTCTAAGCATGGCATGGAAGAAACTCTGTGCAGCATTTGAATACATCCTGACCTTTCCTTGTCCAGGATAATGGGAAAGGACTTAGTTACCAAACTTGCTTGCATCAGAGACTGCCTTGTGTGTGGGCACAACTGCCCTGCAGAGCCTACTAAGGTGTGTGTGAAAGCAACTTTTGCAAAGTAAAACAAGAATGAAGAGATTGGCTCCAGTGTTTGCTGACTGAGGAAAGTTGATTATAAGATCTGGCCAGTTGGGAGCTGAGTTGACCCTTGCCAGTAATGTCTACAAGAGGAATGAGTATAAAGGAGATGCCAATGGGGTGAAGGGAAGAACGTGTAGCCAGGGAGTATGTGGCTCTGCTGCGTGGTCTTGTTAGCTAGCTGGAGGTTTGACAAGGAATGTCATCCCTTGTGTGAATGTAAGAGTCTCAAAAACAAAATAAACAGAACTGAGTAGAAAATGTGGTATATTTGT